CATACTTATTAAATATCCTACCTGAAAATATAAAATATAATGACGCACGTATGATATTATACATTCTCACAAGCGCCAGAATTGCGATAGCAAAACGTTGGAAATCAGAAAAAATCCCAAACAGAGAAGAATTAATCACAAACATCTTAGATATAAAAGAAATGGACAAAACAAATATGTTCTTAGCGGGAAAAATGGACAGTGTGTTTAAGGAAAGATGGCAAAAACTAGACAATTGGCTAGAAATGTATGGATAAAAAGCTCCAAAAATATTGTAAAAAATGGAAATATGAAATGCTATTTTTGTTATATACTGAAAATCAATAAAAATATATATAAAAAAAAAAAAAAAAAGGAAATTCAAAATGACCTAGATAGGTTGCACTAAGAACACTCCAAAATAAGGGCGATGATGCATACACCTGTGTGCCACATACAGTCCAGAAATTAAACTTCATAGCATAATTATCATTTTGCATTTTTGTGCAGTACTGACAGTTATTCTTCTTATGCCAGTATATACAACTTCTGATAGTTCATGTTTTGGATAATGAGAAGTTCATAAAAACCAATGTGTTTTTCCAGTTTAAACTAGAGCCAAAGAAGTGCTGAAGGAAAGAGATAGTTTAACTAATGGGCTCTGGTTTTATCCCTGTATCTTAAGCCATGCAGGTGCTGTAAGTAATAGAGACAGGAAAGGGATGTGTCACTTGAGATGTGGTGAGGAGGAGATGTATGCATCTGCATTTGGCATTTGGACTCTGAATTTAGATTTTAATGGAAGATTAAAGGAAGATAGCTGGGCCTGTTACTTTTCTGCATTGCCTGAAGAAAGCAGTGAGCCAGGGGTGTTGCTGTTAGTAAATGAAAGCATGAAGCCAGAAGGCTGACTGAACAACAAGATTTCTAGGAAATAGGGTCTGTATAATTCACTCATTGGATTTAAGTACCTGAAGGTTAAGAAAATATGAATGTATAGGCCCAATACCATTAATCAAATTAAAAATAAATAAAAATTAACAAATATACAAAACTTGCAAGTATTCATTTCACAGTAGATTAAAAACAGATATCAGCCCTCACAATAGCCTCAGTCATAATTGATAATGTACAGTGACATCCAAAAATGACAAATATTGTCCCTGACCAGAATGTTTTGGCCCAACTGGCCTTCCTCAGTAGTCAAACTAATAACTTTACAATATTGCCCCTGACATAATAATATAGCATTCATTTATCATAAACTAACCAGTATGAAGTTATTCACTTACTGCCCACGTGCCCCTTCTGTACTAGAAGAAGCTAAAAATAAGCAAATAAATGCAAATGTGCAAAAATTGTTCAGCATTCAGCTGTTCTTAGCAAATATTTTAAAGATATTTTAAAGAGCTCTGCATTTTTAAAGCTCTGATATTCAGCAAGCATTTTCAGATGGATAGATGACCAGAGACAACATGCCTATATATAAGTGGTTGGTGATTGGATTGAATCTTCTTCTTGTTGAATATTTCAAAGGGATGGAGACTTGTGCAGCTCCAAAGACTGGAGACAGTAAAGTAGAGGAGAGTCCAGAAGTTCCTATTTTAGAAGATACATCTTCTTCACCCACAGACATTCAGCAACATCTATTGCAGGTTTCCACAGATATTGAAAACACAGAGAGGTACGTGCCTTATTCTGTTCTAATAATTTGCCCTCATTAAACAATTGTTTTGATTCAGTGAAGATGAGGCGCATGTTGAAAGGGGCTCCAAACTGTGAACCCTACACTGGATGAAGAACCGCTTACTGGATGAAGAACTGCCAGTTTGGTGTAGTGGTTAAGGGTGCGGACTCTAATCTGGGAGAACTGGATTTGATTCCCCACTCCTCCACTTACACCTGCTGGATGACCTTGGGCAAGCCATAGTTCTGTCAGAGCTGTTCCTGAAAGGGCAGTTCTGGAAAGAGCTCTCTCAGCCCCACCTACCTCACAGGGTTTCTGTTATGGGGAGGGGAAGGGAAAGGAGTTTGTAAGCCGCTCTGAGACTCCAAATGGAGGGCAGGGTATAAATCCAATCTCCTCCTCCTCCTCCTCCTCCTCTTCTTTTTTTTCCTGCATGTGTGCAGTTGCTGGTAACAGGTAACTAGTTTTGTGTGTGGTTTCCTCATCAGATGTCAAGCAGCAGCACCAAACACTCTTCACAGGAATAATGGAATTCAGTCTCACACTACCCCCCCTCCACTTCCCAAATGGGATGTTGCTATTGTTTGTTTGTTTGTTTATTTATTTATTTATTTATTTATTTATTTATTTCAGTATTACCAAATTTATATCCCACCTTTCTGGTCTCCCAAGGGCCACCAAGGCAGCAAGCAATTTAAAACATACATGATAAAATTGCACTTTAAAACTAATAAAATTAATCCACCAACACATCATTAGAACAAATTAAAAACAGAGTTAAAATACACACAAAGAGATAAAAACAGCAATTAAAACATTGGTCAGGAAGGAAGGATCACTCATATAATGCTAAATGAAACAAAAGATCCTTTACCTGCTGGCGGAAGATGCCAACTGATGGAGACAGAGTCCCCAGAGCTTTGGTGTCATGACTGAGAAGGACCTCTTCTGGGTTGCCACCCACCTAATCTCAGAAGGCATAGTAACTTCAACCAGGGCCTTCAGAGATTACCATAGTGGTTGGGATAGTTCATGAGGGAGTAGGCAGTCCTTCAGGTATGTTGGTCTCAAGCCTTATAGAACTTTAAAGGTCAAGACCAGCACTTTGAATTGTGCCCAGAAACTAACTGGGAGCCATTCTAGATCGGCCAAGATTGGCATGATATGGTCCCTACAACCCACTCCTGTCAACATCCTGGCTGCAGCATTCTAGACCAATTGAAGTTTCCAAATACTTCTCAAGGACAGCCCCATGTAGAGCACATTGCAGTAATCTAGTCTAAGCATAACCAGGGCATGCACCATAGTGGCCAGATCTTTTCTGCCCAGCTGGCTAACCAGTCAAAGCTGGTAAAAGGCACTCCTGGCCATAGCTGCCTCCTGCTTATCCAGCAGTCCAGCAGCACCCCCAGACTATGGACCTGTTCCTTCAAGGGGAGTGCAACCCCATCCAGAACAGGTGACATCTTAAATCCTAAATCAGACCTTCCACCCACCAGTAGCACTTCTCCCTTGTTGGGATTAAGATTCAGTTTATTAGCTTGCATCCACTCCAAAACTGCTTCCATGCACCAGTTTAGGGTTTTTATAGCCTCCGTGGAATCAGCTGAAAGCACAAGATAGAGCTGAGTGTCATCTGTATTGTTGGCACCCAAGACTGCACGTTTTCCTGAAACTCCTACCTTTTAATCTTTGGGCTCCTTTACATATCCTGTAGCAACAAACCCAGGTTTGCCAAGGAGCCTATACTCTAGAGAGAGCTGTCCTCACTGGCTGACAAGTGTACCTGCAACTCTGACATCTACACCTACCCCCCCCCAAAAAAAAATTCTGACGTTAACATTTAGTGTACTGCAGTTGTTCTAAAACTGTGGGGTGAAACCCCCCCCCCTCCCCTGGAAGACTGCTTGAAAGAAGAACATGAAGTTCCTAGAAAAGATGTGTGGTGTCTCCTTCCCCAACCAAGACCTAGTTAAGTTGATTTCTCCCTGGCAGTGAATGCTTGCTGATCTACATTTTCTTCTTTTGTAAGCCGCTCTGAGACACCTTTGGGTAGTGAAGGGCAGGGTATAAATCCAATCTCTTCTTCTCTTCTTCCTAAAAAGATCTTAGATCTGCACAAAAAATGTGGGATAGAGTCTCATTTGTTGTCTGTCTATGGTTCCATTTGTTAGTTGACCATGTGTGAGGCACAATACATAGTTAATGTCCCCAGTTTAACCAAGCTCTCAGAGCAAAACGAATGTAAGAAAAACTGGTTCCAATTAGTTATGGTTCATATATTCCACAGTATTTACCTGTTTAGCCCAAACTGGGTTGAAAAAGAAAGCTGAGCGATTTAAACATAATTGTTGGAAGTGAATTTATTAATAGACATTATTAATCTTGGCAGCTGTCCAGTTTTTTCTCCTTAACTCTTTCTTATTTGCACAGGAGGAATATGCACAAATAAAATTAGGGAAAATACAGTCTCATTTATTTTTTAAAATATATTAGATGTTTTCAGAAGCCTTCAATTCAATGTTCTTATTATTTTTTTTAATTACAAAAAAATCCTGTCTGGAACATGTAAAATAATATTATTAGATTTTTTTTTTTAAAAGTAGAGAATATATTTTTTAAATCTCAACTCAAGTAATATTCTGTTTGATCTGTCCTGTGCTTCATTTCTGCAGAGATATGAGAGAAATGAAAAACCTTTTAAGCAAACTCAGGGAGACTATGCCTTTGCCATTGAAAAATCAAGGTAAGCTTTTCTTTTCTGCATGTGAAATTTGTATATGTATGTAGTCGGGGTCAGTTTGTTTAAGTAAATGAATTATTTATATATTAAACTTGATGACACAGAAAGGTTTAGAATGTGTAACGTTCCACTAAGGATATTAAAAAAACAACTCTGCCCATTCTCCATACTGCCTGTCATACCAGGAATTCCCTCTCAAAACACCTGCAGCTATACACAGCCTGCCTTCAGAGCAGCTAAGAGCCATTATGCGCCCACCATCAGCATCTTTGGGCTCTTCCATATTCAAAAGATCATATAGAAGATGCTTGATCTGAACACGTGTGCTGCTACTCCCCCCCAGGAGCATCTTGCCAGGGGTGGCACTGGCCCCCAGGAGTTTGCAGCCGCAGTGTGGCCCCTCTTCCTTTCCCTTCAGATCAGTGTTCCCACTAAGCTGAGTTAGTGTGAGCTAGCTCACAGGTTTTTTAGCCTTCAGCTCACACATTTTTGTCTTAACTCAAGAAGGATGGCTTCAGAGCAAACTAATTTATGCAGAAGCCAAATTGCTTGCTCACAACTGTAATGCCAGTATCTCACAAAGCAGAATTTTTGCTCAGTTTGGTGTAGTGGTTAACTGTGCGGATATGGGAGAACCGGGTTTGATTCCCCACTCCTCCACTTGCACCTGGCTGGATGACCTTGGGCAAGCCGTAGTTCTGATAAGATCTGTTCTTGAAAAAGAGCAGTTTCTGTCAGAGTTCTCTCAGCCCCACCTACCTCACAGGGTGTCTGTTGTGGGGAGGGGAAGGGAAACTCCACTTTGAGACTCCTTTGAGTAGTGAAGGGCGGGGTATAAATCCAATCTCTTCTCTTCTCCTCACAAGACTCCACATCTTAGAGGGAGCATTGCTTCAGATCCCTCCTACAAATCCAGTTTCTGTGATGCCTTAACCTTACCACACTTGAAAGAGTTAGGTAGGATGCAGCTGCTTATACTTGTTCTGTTGTTCTTGCCTCCGATCACTGCCCTCTACTGTCTCTCCCACTGTGAAACATGTAAGCACACTCTGATCTTTGCTTATGTTACTTATGCAGTGTGCGTTTGACAATGTAAAACAACATAAGGAATTAAGAGCTAGGAATTCCTGAATTATGAAATGAGGTGAAGCAAGTCACCCAACAAACTGTCCCCGCAAATGCTGCTGGAAAAGTGGAAAAGATCTTTCAGAGGCTTAAAAACTGTCATCTACAGTATTTATGCTTACAAGGACACCTGTTAATCTGCCATTTATTTGGGCACTTTTCTAATACCTTAAGAACAATTAATTTATGTGAGGTGCAGTTTCAGATAAGATTTCATGTTTTTGTAATGATTCAGAAATTGGATTTCTTTGAAAGGTTTGCCACCCCAGCACCAAGGGGAGAGGGCAAGGTAGGCACCAAAGGTGAAGTGTTCCTCTATTCTCAACTAGATACTAACCCCATTTTCAGTAAAGTGGAATAAAAGTGGCCACAACTTTATTGGTTACAGCTATAGTATGCCTTGGCACAGCATGGGGTACTGGATCCTGTTCATCAGCTGAGCACCTTGCCAGTCGATGATCCACTGGACACCTTGAGATGACAAGTCTCTGGATCCCACAAGGGCAAATGCCCTGAGGTGTTCTCCCCTGCCACCTGAGCATGAGGGTAATCCCTGGCTGTGTCCCTGGGCTGGGCATATCACTTGACCCTCATGCCAAGTTCCCTTAAGGGGATCCCCTCACTCAGGAAAATGGGCACGCAGGCCAGCTTTCCTGATAATGGATCTGGCCCCATGCTGATACTGCCAAGCTGTGACAAGAAAGTAAATAAAGCAAAGCCGCACTACACCTAACTAAAGGGCCAGAAGGTGGGCCAAGCCATCCAACAGTGAAAAGACAGAGGGGAGGGGCGGCACAGCACCCTAAGTAGCAGCCAGGGCGCCTCCAGGACCCGCTGTTAGGGCCGGTGTTGGGTTGGGTGGGCCCCAGCTTCCCATGCTCATTGACAGCCCACCCCTCCACCCAGCCAGGACCACCCTGGTCATCCTCGCTTCCTCAACCCCGCCTCAGGACCCCAGGCTTTCCTTCATGGAGGAGGACTAGTTTGTGAAGAACCTTTATTGGTTACTGTCCATACTTGTTCATGACCTATAAACTCCTGGATAGGACTGGTTCCAGCAGCCTCCCCCTAATTAACATGGAATACGATTCACTGGGAAGTTCTCCTGTGGTTTGAAGAGGGTAGAGGCTCTTGCACAACTCCTGTTATTTCAGTGTGGTTTGCACATGTCAGGGGGACTAGATCTCTCTGCTTCCCACTCTTCCTGAGTGGCACCTGGAATCCACCTGGTCGGTCAGTCAGTCAGTTTTTATTCGGTGCATAACCAGCACAATTCAGTTAAAACAGTTTAAAATATCTAGAGTTCATTCATAAAACATTTATAAACCATATCAGTCTTATCTGAGGCCCTTTGGTTGAACTACATATAAATACCTATAAGTTACATTATAAACAAATAAAGTGAAATTCATCCAATGAATCCACCTGGTCTGTCGCCAGAGCCTTCTCTGCCTTGCACAATGCAGAATTAAATGCTTTCTGCTCAACTGAATTCTAATCTTTTTTTTTTAATCACAGATGATAGCAGCCTCCTAAACTTGACTCCTTATCCGTTAGTGCGAAGACGGAAGCGAAGGTTCTTTGGACTCTGCTGTCTTGTCTCAAGCTAGAAGACCCAATGCAGAAGTGCGCAGATAACCATAGCCAATACAATTGACCTTCCGCTGGATAAACCTAATGCTCTAACTTTAAATGTATGTTTTCTACACTGCCCTAATTCTATCCCTTCCTCTCCTTTTCAAGAGTTTTGCAGATCGTTGCTGACCAGAACCAAATCGGGAAGCCAATTTAACATTATTAAGAATATTTTTTAATGTTTTTTTAATGGCACGTCTGTTTAAAATCATTCTGTGATTAGAGGCAAATATTACCATTATTAAATAAAACATGCAGAAATTTTTATTTAGTGTACAAAACCACAACAACTGATTGTGTACAGTACAATAGTATGACTGTAGCTCTTGCTAGTATGATGTTAAAATATTTGAACATATTCTATTAAGCAATCTTAATCCATAGGAAAGTATTTAGAACAGCGAAACTGTGCTCAAGTTCTAAAGCGCTAAAATAAACAGAGCCAATATCGTAAGAGAACATGCACAAACTCTCCTATTGCTTTTTGTGCTCTCATTCATATTTAGTCTTCCACTCTATATCTCAACTTATCCAAGATCTTCATAGTACAATATCTTAATTTCTAATACACAAGCAACATAACATTAATATGTTGATCCTGTAAATATGAGAGTTATATCTACATATTGTACAATGCATAGAAATAGCTAATTTACTTTTTAAAAAAGAGATGTTATCTATTTAACTTTGGGAAGAAAGGATTAAGTGTTTAAAAGACGGTGTAGGAAACTATACAATCCACAGATGTAAAGCAGATTATCCCATTTTGTTTCCATTAAAGGTTGAAGCATGGTGTCTGCACATCAAATTAGTGTTACTGCTTATAGGGCATGCCAGGAGTAGCTCTGATTGTAAAATATTAAACATTTTACATTGTTAATAAATATTTTTTAGTTAAACTAAAACATGTTGTCTTGGCATTAATTATATAACATAGTATCATCTATAATTCCTTATCCCTATTTTTGTGACTGCTTTGCTCAGGAGAACGTACCTGTTGTCAGCACTGAAACTGGGACCTGGTTTTCTGTTTTAGCCATGTGAACCTTCATTTTAAAAAAGAAAGACTTCTTGCTAACAGTTCTTGCCATGTTCGATATCTGAGCAGTTGCAGAGAAGTAAATTCTGCTGGGCGTTTTGATAAAGGAGATGATACTGGTATGGGTTCCCATAAGGGAATGAGACTGGTGGAGTGTCAAGTTCATGAGCTTTTGATCCTTTTGCGTATAGCTAGAAATGGAAAGATTTCCACATTTGTGGGAAACCATGGGTGTGTCTATGTCTAAATCACAAGCAACGGCTTTTTTTGCCCCTACATACCAAAATTCCAAGCTGTAGTTTAATCCTGGTTTGCGGTGTCAGGACCAAACCATCAGTAGTACGTCAACTGAAACTACAAACTGCTATGAAAACAAAAGTTTTTCATTATTGAGTTGCAGGGGTGGGGTGGGGTGGGGGAGCATGCAATCTCACTATCCCCCAAGACTGTACCTGTGAAGACAAGTTTTGTTGTCATATCTGAACTGTGCCTCTTATTTATTTATTTCACTTTTACCCCGCCCTCCCCGCAAGGCGGGCTCAGGGCGGCTTCCAAAAACTGACAAGCGGTATACATTCACAATAAAAATACAAGACATCATTTAAAACACAATCAGTCAATATAAACATTCATTGGATGGTGATAAAACTAAAGTGCAATTTAGGGACACATTCAGCGGTGCCACCGCACTAGGTCGTGTTGGATCACACAGGGTGCTGCTGGTAGGATCAATGCAAAGGAAATAAAATCCATGGATAAATACTGAACAAGGCTCTTCATCATTGGGGTAGTGAAGCTGGAAGGCATACACAGAGCTGTAAAATGTGACTGTTCCTCACTTAGGGTACAATCCATATTGCGTTGGAAGTCCATGGAAGAATATTGTCCACTGATTTTAACAGTTCTGGAATGCACCATGAGAAAAACTTAGAAACATGATGATAAAAGTTGAAGGACTTCCATATATATATATATTAAAAGATGAAACAAGTACAGTGCCAAGTATAAGGATTTTAATGTAATAGTGCAAATTTAAGAACCTGCCATTTTACTGTACTACTTCATTGCCTTAAGTGCATTTCCTACCATTATGCTTGTTGTTAGTTCAAATAGCTTATTGTTATCAATTACCGGCCTATCAGGCTCAAATTATCCTGCAGCCCTTAATGCTATCTGAAGCTATGATAAGCTGCTGGCTGCTTTCCTAACCCTAAACCAATGCTGCCACAAGCAACTATTTAACTATGTCTAATGGCAGAGCCATGTTCTAGACCTGCCATGATTTTTCAGATAATATATTAAATCCAGCAATTCAGAAAACAGTATATTGTTTTGACTGCCTTAGCTGAAACAGTGTAATTATATGGCCTAACCAGTTCCCAAATCAAAACACCTTCCAGTTCTGTTTGTGCTTGTTTTGGTGTCTTCAGTTATTCTGGACCAGTTATGGGTTTGTTCAGCCAGCACAATTTCTGATGTTCAACCAGTTACTAGAGCTGGGTGTCATCAGCATATTGATGACACCCAAGTCCAAAATTCCTCACCAGCTGTGTGAGGGAGCACATATAGATGTTAAATAGCATCAGGAGAGCACAGCCCCTTGGGGCACACCACACAAGTGGGTGCCTTCGGGACTGCTGCTCCCCAATGGCCACGCTTTGTCCCTGACCTTGGAGAAAGGAGACAAGCCATTGCAAGACGAGCCCCTGAATTCCCATGTTGGCAAGGCGGTGGGCAAGCAGCTGATGGTCGACCATGTCGAACGCCGCCGACAAATCTAGCAACAGCAGCCCTTCCGTCCCGCCCCGATCCAGAGGTCATCCATGAGATACACATTGATGGGGTCTGAACTGGCAGAGACTGAGCAAGAGAGAGATCTTGGAGTTGTAGTGGATAACTCACTGAAAATGTCGAGACAGTGTGTGACTGCAATAAAGAAGGCCAATGCTATGCTGGGGATTATTAGGAAGGGTATTGAAAACAGATCAGCCAATATAATAATGCCCCTATATAAATCAATGGTGAGACCTCATTTGGAATACTGTGTGCAGTTCTGGGCACCACACCTTAAAAAGGATATTATAGCTTTGGAAAAAGTGCAGAAAAGGGCAACTCGAATGATAAAAGGGTTGGAACACTTTCCCTATGAGGAAAGGTTAAAGCGCTTAGGGCTCTTTAGCTTGGAGAAAAGACGACTGAGGGGTGACATGATCGAGGTTTATAAGATTATGCATGGGAAAGAGCAGGTAAAGAAAGAGGTACTTTTCTCCCTTTCTCACAATACAAGAACTCGTGGGCACTCCATGAAACTGCAGAGCGGTCGGGTTAGAACAGATAAAAGGAAGTACTTCTTCACTCAAAGAGTGATTAACACTTGGAATTCACTGCCACAGGAAGTGGTGGGTGCTACAAGCATGGACGGCTTCAAAAGGGAATTAGATAAGCATATGGAGCAGAGGTCCATCAGTGGATATTAGCCACAAGGTATAGATAGGAGCTCTGGGGCAAGGGATGCTCTGTGTTCTTGGTGCTTGGGGGGGTCAACAGTGGGAGGGCTTCTAATGTCCTGGCCCCACTGCTGGACCTCCTGATGGCACTGGTATTTCTGGCCACTGTGTGACACAGAGTGTTGGACTGGATGGGCCTTTGGCCTGATCCAACATTGGCGTCTCTTATGTTCTTATGTTCTTATGTTCTAAATAATTGTGCTGGGCGTGAGCTAGCAGACACAATTGAGGCTGCGTAGAACTCCCTCTTCGCAGCTTTGACTGCCACCTCATAGGATTTAATGAACGTCCGATAGGATGCTCTTGTTGCTTCGTTGCGAGCACACCGCCACTGTCTCTCTAGCCATCAGCCTCAGCTCCTGGGTGTACCAGGGAGCCAGCCTTGTGTGCAGGCGCAGAGAGCGTCTGGGAGCGATCTCATCGATGCTGTCGAGAGCCGGTTGTGCTGTCCTTGACTAGCTCATCTAATGAGCCGCCAGGGGGCATAGGATCCCGCAGAGCCATCTGAAGCCACACTGGGTCCATTTGGCTCCACGGGCGAGCTAAAATACGCTCGTTGCCCAAACAGGGTAGGGGTGACACATTCACTCAGGCCCTCAGGACATGGTGGTCCAACCATGGAACTGCCGTAGCAGTAATCCAGTCCACTGTAACCCCCGCTGCAAAGATCAAGTCAAGCATGTGACCAGCTCGGTGAGTGGGGGCCGTTACATATTGGGAGAGTCCCAGTGCCACCATGGATGACATCAGGTCTGTCACCCGTGAGGAAGCCGCATCGTTGACATGGACATTGAAGTCACCCAGGACTATCAGTCTAGGGTGCTCCAACGCCCAGCCCGACACGGCCTCCACCAGGGACAGCAGACTGTCAGGCGGTGCATTGGGCAGACGGTACACCAACCAAACAGCCAAACTCTCCCCGGCTTCCCACACAAAGCCGGCACACTCAATGCCTGTGAGCCTCAGCACCGGGAGCACCCTGAAGGAGTAAGCCTTTCGAATGAACAAAGCCACTCCCCCCCCCGCCCTGTTGTCTGAGATTGGTGAAGGGCTGAGAACCCAGGCGGAGCTAACTGGGAGAGTGCTACTGTTAGATCGCCACTAACAAAGATCCGGAGAGTGATTTCAACAAAAGTGATCAGCTTTATTGTAGGTACGAACAAGTGCTTGAAAGAAGTTGTAACCAGAACAACTTAACATTGGGAGCTAGGCTCCTTTTAAACATTCCCGGGCTAATGTAGCCACGCCTATTTACAATAAACAACCAATGAGGTTGTGCGGATAACGTCCAATGAAAGTCCTTCCCTCGCAGGGAATTGGTACAGTTCTGATTGGTCGCTGTTGTGGAGCGACCAATAGCAAGTTGGCTCGGAGGAGCCTTCCTCTGGCTCGAGCTTATCATGGAGAGTTAATGCGGCGATTCATGTAAGCTTTTTTGAATACACCACAGCTACTGTATCCCCATCTCGCACCCAGGTCTCGGTCACGCATGCCAGGTCCGCATCCTGCTCAAGCAGAAAGTCCCGAAGGACTGCAGTCTTATTATTTATGGACCTGGCGTTGCACAGCACCAATGTCGGAGTGGTGTTTCTGATCCTTGCCCCACTGCCTGCCTCCTTTGGGATGAAACGCACAACGCAGGCTGGAAGGTGGCCGAGCTTCTCTATTTCTCAGCCTCCTTCCCTTCCATTTCTGCCTGGTCCCACCGCTATACCTCCCCCTTCCCAGGAGCACTGGTATACCCTAGCCCATCATTTCCAGCTACTGATGTTCTTCGCTACCCTGAGCCTCAGATCACTAGTCGCTTAGGTAGATGGTATATCAGAGTGCGGTGCTCCTACTGACAGTTCACAAAATCTTGTAGTGCTGTTAACCTTAGAACCTAATCTATCCTAACAAATAATCCCCTTAACTAACTAACTGCCCACCCCCCAGCTAGCCAGCATTTAAATAGTAATCCCTCCCTCTTCCAGAGCCAGTCATTTATTGTATATAGAATTATGACAATTCTAGACATGGATCTTAAGCAGGAAACCCAGATCGGGGACCCTAGGTTGCCGATGTACAGTTCTAAATTGGTGGAG